AACATGCCTTCTCACTTCAGCTGGCCCTCAGGCAGCTGAGCTTTTTCCTGCACCAGTTCACCACAAGCTCATGCATAACAAAACCCTTGGCTAAATATATAAAACCTTATATTTCCTCTTTAATACACCAGAACATCATAGTTTCATCATACATGTACTGTTGTGCAACTCGATATTGCGAGGAATGAAACATTGCATAAAGTTAATACAGTAAATAGCCTAAATACAAAAAGGTTTATCTACAACCACATTATAAACACTTGTGGCTTATTTTCTAAAAAAATAGAGTACATTTTACCATTTATTCCTAACATTTTTTCATGAAATACTAAAATAAAAATGTGAATTTTAAAATGTTTACCTGTTTTAAGAGTTGACTACTTGACTGCATGTTTATAGACTGCTGTTTATAGCCCGGCTTGAAATATCGTTTTTGTCCACATTTTGGGAGGTTTTAATAGTTGTTTGTTGTCTTTCACGGACGAGAATAACGTGTACGACTTTCACATCCTTGAACAAACGTCGAAAAAATATGTCGAAAATAACAAAACAACAAGAATTCACTGCAAAAATCCGAAATATTTTTTTCAGAAACCAGGGGGGTGTGAAAACAGTGGCGGGCTCACAATTAAGCCTTGTTCAGTGGCAATTACCATGAATTTAGGGACCAGTAGTCATGGAAATGGCGTCATTTTTACTCAAAATCCGCCATGTTTTTGGCTTCACTTGGTTGACTGAACGAAGTATAGGAGCAGGTCCTCCAGTTATTATACAGCTCAGTGCGAGAGACTCTGGCCAAATCCAAAACTGGTTACCATAAAAACATGGTAAAAGAATATATTCGGTATTAGAACAATAACCTTCGTTGGAGCCAATCAGATGCCAGTTTGATATGGATTTGGCCAGAGCCCCTCGTCGCGCTCCGTCGACCGCGCGTTAGAAGGGCTCTGGATACGAGAATGAATTTTTCCATACCTTGTAAAGTTATTAAATAAACCCTTCTACAGCCTCGCTGATCTCTTCAAGTGTTGACATCTCGAAATAATTTAAAGAGTCAAATGATATCAAATATCATCTGACTGTAATCATATGTTTAATTGAACACTTTGAAATGTTATTTTCTCAAAAAAATGGCGAAAAAATGCCCCAAAACGGTGGAAAACCACGGTTTGCAAGAAACTGACGAATTTTGCAAGAAATGGCAGAAGATCTCCCAGGCGCTCCTCAATTTTTGCAGCCTCAAGCCCATATATAAACCCCTGTGCTTGTTTTCGTTGCTATGCACTACTCCATGTAAACTTTAATATAATAGTGACTCGCATGAAATTTTTTTATTAGCGCCTGGGGACGAGGCAGCTAAGTGAGTGAAATTTTTGACCATTTCACTCAAATTGGGAAAAATTTGTGAGGGCTTGGCTGACAGCAGTGAAGGGGGCAAGCTATATACACGCAACACTAATTCATATTTTGCGAGTTCTATTTTTAGCAACAAAATGAATTTATGAAATCGAATTTTGAATCACTCTACCTTTGCAGTGAATAGTTGTATTTCGAAACAATTTGTAAGAATAATAATTATGTTCTGGTAAAGTTCATGTAAAATTTCGTACAAGCAAGATGAAAGTTAAAGAAGTTACAACACCTCTGGCATTTTTTTGGAGCACTCACAATTTTGAGATTTCCATGTGAAACTTCTCACCGAGGTCTGCAAACTGCATAGCTAACATAAAATTCGTTCAAATTAAAAAGAACTGCGTAATTCACCATTTTGTTTGTGAAATTTCGGACATGCTCAGAATCTATGCGTGAAATTTCTGGCGATTGGAAAACAGGAACGTCCTTCAGAGGGGAATTCGAAATGGTAAAATTTGGAAATTTGTCCCTGGATCATGGACCGCGTAGCGAGTACTGAAGGGGACTTCAGCACCTCCCCCCGCCACCCCAATTATTTTCATGATACTGAACGGATATGTTCTTTCATGCTTACTACTATAATAAATAGAAATAGTTGCGCGGCTGGTTATACTATCATTGCATGCAAGGCTAAAATACATTTCTTCTTTTTTACGTGACACGTACTGCGGCGCAGGAAAATTAACAGTTTTGAAGGGTGAAACATATTAGTTTTGAAAGTGTTTTGGGCTTCTACAGTGTCGCAGTTTCAAGCGTGCTACGTGGTTTTCAAAGCTGAGTGACGCTCGACTTGACCGTTGCATACCTAATTTGTGTAATTGTCTTTACAATATGTTAATCATCTGGGGCCGGTTGTATAAAACTCTTAATTACTTTTTTAATCACTATTTTGTAGTTAAATAGTGATTAACTCTCAAATACGCGCTTCTTATTGGATGACGTTTCCACTTAATTATAGTTAACTTTAATCACTTTTTTATACAACCGGCCCCAGCAAGACAAGTGTCTCCACTATTTTTCAATTAAATAATTAATCCTCCCTAATCGTCAAATGGATGCGTCAAATTCCAAGATGTGATTACCCCCTAAGGTACTTGGCTAAATCGCCAGGGACCTAAAGTTATATTATTCTCCTGGCATAAACTAGACCATTGAGCTCAGGCGCGCAAAATATCACAAATATGGCTCCTCAGATCTCAAATACAAATAAATCAATACTATATAATACAGGGTGTCCCAAAAAACCCGAAAACTATTGAAATCAACAATAACAATTTAATTGTTAGAATTTGAATGCCTAAGCACTCTGTTGGTTCCCACAAGTGGATAAATGATTGACATGAGTAAATTTTATGCATAAAGAAACTATTTAAGAAGCTGCTTTAAATTCCCAAGAGCAGAAAATCGCGCACTTTACAAGGAGATGTTCTTAACTACATTTTAATACATGCACCTTGTCAATATTTTACTCATCATTACGTTCAGCTTTTTGGTAGGGCATTCAATTTTAACAATAAGTGATTTCAATAGTTTTCGGTTTTTTTGGGACACCCTGTATGTCGTCTGTGGCTTCCAACCCTAGCTACGGCTACAATGTACATCTGGGACCGATTGTGCGAAGTCCGGATAGCGGTACTCACAAGTTATAGTCATCTTTCAACCGTTGTGCAAATACTTGAAAAATGATAAAACTACACCGATATGAATTCCACAATTAATAAAACAAATCTTTAATTTTTCTATACTGAAGTTTAATCTGGGTTATACAAGTCATTGGCTGATTGAAGAAAGTTTGAAAAAATCGCTAAACCCTAAACGGAAATAGCACTATCCGGCCTTTGTACAACTGGCGTCTGAATTCCATTTCAAAAATAACTATGCTAAAAATACTAAGACCTGGCTTCGTTTGACACGTCGAAGTGTTACTTGAATTCTTCGGATAGTTGAATCCCTTCCATCTGTAGTTTTCTGGTGTTATTAGACAGCTTTAGCAAACGTTGGCATGGACCATTCGAGTTCATTTCAAAAGTAGGCTACCTTCGTTGGTTGCCTGAAATAGCATTTCCGGCATTCTGAGAACACATTTTTAAAAAATCTCAGCTTCTCAAAACAAAGTTTTAATGGTGAAATTTGTAATAAATTGCATGCTAAACATTCAAACACAACATATGTTTAAGTATGCTCACCAACAATTTATTTTTAAATTTCTTTTCAATGTTAAACTCATTTACTGAATACAGGTCCTAGGGCCCTGCTTATGGGGCAATAGGCCATTTTTTTCTTCAGTGGTGGGGCAGAGGAAGGCGCCGGCCAAGTTGGGCAAAGGCCCCGCCAGTCCATGGTATTAAAAAATGCCTTGTATCACGATGTTATTGTCTGATGTAGTGAAAATATGTGTTTAGTGAATAAAGTGTTTCTAAAGAACGAGGGAAGGTTGTTATCATGTTATTGATATATAGTCAAATACTGAAATAACGTTAGCGATATGACTCAATCTGTACTTAAACCGTAGTATTTATTCTAATACAGTTGGCACTGTCCGTACGATCGGACACGGTCCGTACAATATCTGATACTTCGCATCATTGGCGTGATATTATCTGTGCTATATAGGGATCTGTTGAATCTCATGAAGTATGCTCGCATGACCATGTGCTCCGAGAAGGGCCACTTCTGACTTCCGAGTTCCGACTTCTGACTTCCGACTTCTGACTTCCGACTTCTGACTTCTGACTTCTGACTTCCGACTTCTGACTTCTGACTTCTGACTTCCGACTTCTGATTTCTGATTTCCGACTTCTGAGTTCCGACTTCTGACTTCTTCTGCCTTTCCAGCTAAACACGGCAAATCCAAACCGATTGCTTCGATTCTGCATTAATTTTGCTGATAACGTCTAAATATATCATAATTTTCTTATCCAGAATTTCCGAATTCGTTATTTTATTTCATTTTTTCAATTTTATGTTGCCGTGTTTCCAACAGTATTATCATTCTTTGTTAGCAATACTTATTTTTGATATCGTATGTATTTTAGTAGAAAAAAAAACTATGTATGTTCAACGGGATGTTCTTTATCAAATTTAGCCGTAGGGGACATTTAAAAATAAATTAAAATTTAATTTAACATTTACATCACTTTTTCCAAAACTTAGCTCAAAAACTTTACAAAATATCATCCAGAAAAAAACAATCACCAATATAATCATATGGATAAGAAATTTATCTATTTTGGCGATAAAATTAACCTCACATATCTGAATTTATCAAATTGATATTGTCAATTGACAAAATTTTCATTATCCACCACAGTAGAACCCCGGTTACCCCGCCATTTCAAACTTAAGTTAGTTGGCTAAGTTTCATGAGTCAAGCCTCAAAGGAAAAAATAATTAGTTCGAAAAAGCAACGAGTTCGAGTTATATGAGTTCAGAATAATGGAGTAAAAGAAGTCCGAACTCAGAAGTCGGAAGTCAGAAGTCAGAAGTCAGAAGTCAGAAGTCAGAAGTCAGAAGTCGGAAGTCAGAAGTCAGAAGTCAGAAGTCAGAAGTCGGAAGTCAGAAGTCAGAAGTCAGAAGTCGGAAGTCAGAAGTCAGAAGTCAGAAGTCAGAAGTCAGAAGTCGGAAGTCAGAAGTCAGAAGTCAGAAGTCGGAAGTCGGAACTCAGAAGTCAGAAGTCGGAAGTCGGAAGTCAGAAGTCAGAAGTCAGAAGTCGGAAGTCAGAAGTCAGAAGTCAGAAGTCGGAAGTCGGAAGTCGGAACTCAGAAGTCAGAAGTCGGAAGTCGGAAGTCAGAACTCAGAAGTCGGAACTCAGAAGTCGGAACTCGGAAGTCGGAACTCGGAAGTCAGAAGTGGGGCTCCTCGGCCATGTGGCCCTCCTCGGCCATCGTATAGAAGTCAGCCTGTCGGAATTCGGGACTTTTGGAAAGTACTTGAGCTAAATTTTAGAAATAAGTTATGTAAATGTTAAATTTTAGTTTTAATTATGCAATTTAATTGTTCCCTACAGCTAAATTTAAACCGTTGAGACAGTGAAATCGCAATTGGTGTAGAGAATATCTCGTTGAACATAGTCTTTTTTATACTAAATTATCAAAAATAACGATATCAAAAATAAGTATTGCTACCAAAGAATGAAAATACTGTTGGAAACACGGCAACATAATATTGAAAAATGAAATAAAATAATGAATTCGGAAATTCTGGATAAGAAAATTATGGTATATTTAGACGTTATAAGCAAAATTAATGCAGAATCGAAGCAATCGGTTAGGATCTGCCGTGTTTAGCTGGAAAGGCATAAGAAGTCAGAAGTCAGAAGTTAGAAGTCAGAAGTCGGAAGTCAGAAGTCGGAAGTCAGAAGTCGGAACTCAGAAGTCGGAACTCGGAAGTCAGAAGTCGGAACTCGGAAGTCAGAAGTGGGGCTCCTCGGCCATGTGGCCCTCCTCGGCCATCGTATAGAAGTCAGCCTGTCGGAATTCGGGACTTTTGGAAAGTACTTGAGCTAAATTTTAGAAATAAGTTATGTAAATGTTAAATTTTAGTTTTAATTATGCAATTTAATTGTTCCCTACAGCTAAATTTAAACCGTTGAGACAGTGAAATCGCAATTGGTGTAGAGAATATCTCGTTGAACATAGTCTTTTTTATACTAAATTATCAAAAATAACGATATCAAAAATAAGTATTGCTACCAAAGAATGAAAATACTGTTGGAAACACGGCAACATAATATTGAAAAATGAAATAAAATAATGAATTCGGAAATTCTGGATAAGAAAATTATGGTATATTTAGACGTTATAAGCAAAATTAATGCAGAATCGAAGCAATCGGTTGGGATCTGCCGTGTTTAGCTGGAAAGGCATAAGAAGTCAGAAGTCGGAACTCAGAAGTCAGAAGTCAGAAGTCGGAACTCAGAAGTCAGAAGTCGGAAGTCAGAAGTCGGAACTCAGAAGTCAGAAGTCGGAAGTCGGAAGTCAGAAGTGGCCCTCCTCGGCCATCGTACATTTATGATCATTTGGTGGTTTCAAAGCTTGAATCTGGTTGTTCAACAGATTAAAATCAGATCAAAACCTGTCAAGTGCTCTTGACAAATATCGAAGATTCTCACGCGAATAGGTAATGTTTTTATCACCTTGCAACATGGTGATGGTGATGTTGTGGGAGCCTTGGAGCATGGCGCCGTTAGAGTGGGAGTCTTGAAGCATGGTGAGAGTGTGGAAGCCTTGGAGCATAGTGATGGTGTGTGAGCTTTGAGAGCATGGTGAGAGTGTGGGAGCTTTAAGAGCATGGGGATAGTGCTGGAACCTTGGAGTAACCTCATACAGCCGTACACCACTGTACTATTGGCAACATAACGCAGTCATTTGTATTTGGTATATCATGTAGTCGCTCCAAGGGATTAATAGCTAAAGTAAGTTTGTCCGCACTATCAACTCTGTCTTCAAGGGTGTCCATAACTTGTTCAATGTCATTTTCCTCTTCCTTGATTGTCATAAAACAACCAAAACTATTGATAATAACAACCATAGCCAAATAGACAAATATTATGGGGAAAAACATTAGATCTTTGTCCCCAACACTGTCTGGTAAATTCTCAATAACAGCAATAGCTATACTTGAATTTCTTGCTGATGAAAGCACTGTAACAGCAAGGATTGATTTCTTAGGTAGCCGTAGTAGAGAAGCAAGGATGAAGGTAAAAACAAGAAATGACGTAATCACAGCTGTACCAAGAGCTGTTACAGCCACGACCATCCAAGGTGAAAATTTTTGAAGGTCTCCTTTCGCTGTTGCTTGACTAATTTTCACCCAAAACATAACAAGGAGAGCCCCAGAAGTAACAAACTTCAGAAATGTGTATAGTTTTGTAACAACCTTTTTTACCAGTCCAATGAATCTTAAAAGTCGTCCAACCTGAAGAAAGATTGTACAGTTTTTAAAATTAGAAAACAAAATAACACAAACTGAATTTAGGCGTAAATAACTACTGGAAATTTAATTAAACTAACAAGAGGCTGAATTTCACAAAAATCTCTTTCTGCTCAAGTTTGGGTGAAATTACTGACACCTTGACTTGTTGATGAACTTTAACAAGTGTCGAGCAACTTATTTAAATACATTTAATTCGCTTTTAGTACCAAGCTTAAAATGCACATGACATTAATTTTTTGCCTTAATTTTAAGGCTTTACTAGAAAGCACCCTTCAAGTCACAAAGAATGGTGGTTACAATTTTTTCATATCTCATCTCAATCCAGAGTTATTACAGTTTTTGTAATTTGAGCTATGACATCATAAGCTGTGCTAAAAGTTGCAGGAAAAACTTAAAGTGGAATATCTCCAAGAGGATTTGAGCAAATGAAATGAAACTTTGCACAATTGTTAAGTGCGGTCACACATACATTTTGTATGTTTATGTGGTTGTCAAGGCAACGCTCTAGTTTCCAGTCCCCTTTCTTGCATAAACTTAGTTTTACATTGCCAACAACACAAGTGGCTATTTCTGTTGTTTTCATTGCTTATGTTCTTTATGGGAACATTTTAGTATTTGTCAACTAAAAACTGTGAAACAGGCACCTTTCTTAGCCAGTACAGAGCAGGAACCGTGTGACTTGATGCGCGGAGACTGGGAACTAGTGCGTTGTGTTGACAGCCACACAAGCATACCAAAATGTATGTGTGACTGCACTCAACAACTGTGCAAAGTTTCATTTCATTTGCTCAAATTCTCTTGGAGATATTCCACTTTCAGTTTTTCTTGCAAACTTTACCACAACTTATGACGTCATAGCTCAAATTACAAAAACTGTAATAACTCTGGATTCATATAAGATATGGGAAAACTGTAACCACCATTCTTCACCATTTGAAGGCAATAAAATTAAAGCCAAAAAATTCATGTCATGTGCTCTTTAAAACCATCAACGTGGTACTGACGTGTTGCAACTTTACCGAGACAAGAGCACGGCTGATTTATAAACTTTACATGTCATATACCGTGTTTAATATAATTATAGCTAGGGTGAACACCAAAGGTGATTGGCTGATTTGTGGTCACGTGACTTCAGCTAAATGCAATGATCCCGCTGGGCAACAAGTGAAAAATTGTTGCCCACCACAACCGGCTATACGTACATAAATAAACAAAATGGCGGCACAACTAGCATAATTAGAAACTACGATTTTCCAAGTTTGTGTTCAAATAAAAAATGTAAAAGAGAAAAATACACAACAGGCAACAGAATATGCTGCATGCTGAAACCGTTTAAGTAGATTCTCTTAATTTTAAACTCGTTTACACTTTTGAATTTTCGTCACGAAATGCAATATTAGGGCCATTCATACGGGACAAAATAAGACGTGACTTACATAAGACGCGACTTAAATAAGACGCGAGTTTGTCGTATAAAAGGTACACAATTCTTATGTAAGACGCGTCTTGGATAAGACGCGTCTTACATAAGAACAGGACTTTTAGCTGTTCTTATTTAAGTCGCGTCTTAAATAAGAAATTTTAGACAAAAATTCTAACTACACATGCACGAAACTTGAAACAACGTAAAATTATTAGCCTTGCATATTAAAACGAAAACAACCGAAACAACATTACAGCTATAGCGAGTAAAGAAGAATAAAGCCGTAGAGAACCATTTATGCGATAACTCCGCTTATATAAGACGCGTCTTATGTAAGTCACGACTTATTTTGTCCCGTATAAATGGCCCTATTGTTGTATGAATGCTGTTGAATGTTGATTTTTGTTCGTCGCCATATAACAAAAGTAAACGCTTAATGTGTGTTTCCTCAGGGAAATAGTTATGATATACGCAGTCCAATGCGAAGTTATTGTTAGTTCTAAATTATCAAAATTAAGATTATTAGCTTATACTTGGGAGGTGGATGCTCCTCCAAATACTCAGGCCATCACTTCGGTGAATAATTGTTAATTATTACTATTATTATACGCAAACAGTTACTTACAATCAAAGGTAAAAGAATGACCAGAATGACTCTAGTTAATATGGTTAGGAAACTAACACTGGCAGTTTGAAATGCTGGTATCAACCATGTAGTCATAACTGGAACAGTAAAGACTGATATAGTGGTCGCTATTACTGCAATCAATAATGTCAATGCTCGATTACCATTGGCTGCTGTTACCTACGAAATAAGAGCACACTATTAGAAACTGGACAAGCACCGCTTACAGACTGCTACAGAAGCAAGCTAGGGTCACTTGTTAGAATACAGATGTGAAGTTTATAGTGTCCTGTACTTTCCTACGGTAGCCCGTTAGGGACACGCTTGTTCCGTAGAAAATCACATTCGTTCTGTCTACTTGAAGTAGTTTTCCTTAATAACAGAGCGTTTCTGTATAAATGTGCGGCGTTTCCGTAGAAAATTCAGACGACTTCCGCAGAAATATAGACGCTTTCCGTACAAATGTAGACTTCTTCCGTACAAATGTAGATGCCTTCCATGGAAATGTTATACATGCCTTCCATACAAATGTAGACGCCTTCCGTAGAAATGTTATGCATGCTTTCCATACAAATGTAGACGCCTTCCGTAGAAATCTAAAACTAATGCGCGCGCATAGTCTGGTAACTATGGTAACTTCAGTTGCTATATTGTGCAAAATGGCGGCATGTAAACAGTGTACACACGAATTTGCTCTTCCAAAATGCAATTTTTGTCCCAATGGCGGTCATAAAGCAACAAGTAAGATCGTACAAGCAATTGTAGTATATGACAAATGTTTGGTGTGATGTAAATGGACGCTTTACGGAAATCAAAACTCCACATGGGATACTATATAAAATCTATACTAGGCCATATAAAATAAATTCCTTGATTCTCATCACCGCCCGACGATATTTGGTTTCCACGTTGATATATTTTTGTATTTTGTTATAAAATATAAATTTACCGCCCGACCGAGCATCTTCAGAGATTTAGTTATTTTTATATTTTATATTGGAATTCTTGCGATATAAAATTGTTTTACCGTTAATATTGCAACATGTTAAGGGATACTTGGAATACTGAAGGAAAAAATGGGCTTATAGCCTTATTACAACGATTTGTGTGGACCCTTATGCATGTTCATTATATTAGCGCATGTGCAATTATCCACTTATTTAATATATTTTTTATTTTGTTCTTCTATAATATATTTAAGGGCAAATATAACTTTTTCCCTCTTTTTTCCTCCCTCACCAATTCTTTAAATTTTAAACTTTTTTTTATATTTTAACATAAAATATAAAATATAAACCTCCCGCCTCCTGGGAGTTTTTAAAATTTAGCGATGAGAATCAAGGAATTTATTTTATATGGCCCTATGGCGCTTGTGATGTTACTCTGAGTGTATATCCACACCGGGCAAGCTTGAAAAATATGCCTGACCACGGTGGAAAATGGAAATCGAACCTACGACCTTTGGAATACTAGCCCAATTCTGCCAACTGAGCTACGCGACCCGGATTCTAGTTCCTTCGATATCAATGTAATCTCAAATAGCATGATTTTTCTGTGTTGGTGTAATTGTACTCAGGTGAATATGTGATATAATACTCAAATAAATGATGCTTGTGATGTTACATATTTTCAAGCTTGCCCGGTGTGTGGATATACATGTGGAAATCTAAAACTAATGCGCGCGCATAGTCTGGTAACTATGGTAACTTCAGTTGCTATATTATGCAAAATGGCGGCATGTAAACAGTGTACACACGAATTTGCTCTTCCAAAATGCAATTTTTGTCCCAATGGCGGTCATAAAGCAACAAGTAAGATCGTACAAGCAATTGTAGTATATGACAAATGTTTGGTGTGATGTAAATGGACGCTTTACGGAAATATAAACTCCACATGGGATACTATATAAAATCTATACTAGGCCATATAAAATAAATTCCTTGATTCTCATCACCGCCCGACGATATTTTGGTTTCCACGTTGATATATTTTTGTATTTTGTTATAAAATATAAATTTACCGCCCGACCGAGCATCTTCAGAGATTTAGTTATTTTTATATTTTATATTGGAATTCTTGCGATATAAAATTGTTTTACCGTTAATATTGCAACATGTTAAGGGATACTTGGAATACTGAAGGAAAAAATGGGCTTATAGCCTTATTACAACGATTTGTGTGGACCCTTATGCATGTTCATTATATTAGCGCATGTGCAATTATCCACTTATTTAATATATTTTTTATTTTGTTCTTCTATAATATATTTAAGGGCAAATATAACTTTTTCCCTCTTTTTTCCTCCCTCACCAATTCTTTAAATTTTAAACTTTTTTTTATATTTTAACATAAAATATAAAATATAAACCTCCCGCCTCCTGGGAGTTTTTAAAATTTAGCGATGAGAATCAAGGAATTTATTTTATATGGCCCTATGGCGCTTGTGATGTTACTCTGAGTGTATATCCACACCGGGCAAGCTTGAAAAATATGCCTGACCACGGTGGAAAATGGAAATCGAACCTACGACCTTTGGAATACTAGCCCAATTCTGCCAACTGAGCTACGCGACCCGGATTCTAGTTCCTTCGATATCAATGTAATCTCAAATAGCATGATTTTTTTGTGTTGGTGTAATTGTACTCAGGTGAATATGTGATATAATACTCAAATAAATGATGCTTGTGATGTTACATATTTTCAAGCTTGCCCGGTGTGTGGATATACACTCAGAGTAATGTCTGTTATTGTTTTTTATACATGTATCCTAAATGTTTTGGAATCCCGTTATTGGAGATCGAACTAATAATCTCTGTGTGGTAATTCCAGCCATGTAACCTATTTTGTAATTAATTTTATGTAATATAGTGTATGTTTTGTATTCAATGGCAAAATCTGTAAAATAAAATAAATAAATTTTTTAAAAAAATAACATCACAAGCATAGTATAGATTTATAGTATCCCATGTGGAGTTTTGATTTTCGTGACTAAAAACAACATAGCGTCCATTTACATCACACCAAACATTTGTCATATACTACAATTGCTTGTACGATCTTACTTGTTGCTTTATGACCGCCATTGGGACAAAAATTGCAATTTGGAAGAGCAAATTCGTGCGTACACTGTTTACATGCCGCCATTTTGCATAATATAGCAACTGAAGTTACCATAGTTACCGGACTATGCGCGCGCATTAGTTTTAGATTTCTACGGAAGGCGTCTACATTTGTATGGAAGGCATGCATAAAATTTCTACGGAAGGCGTCTACATTTGTATGGAAGGCATGCATAACATTTCTACGGAAGGCGTCTACATTTGTATGGAAAGCATGCATAATATTTCTACGGAAGGCGTCTACATTTGTATGGAAGGCATGTATAACATTTCCATGGAAGGCATCTACATTTGTACGGAAGAAATCTACATTTGTACGGAAAGCGTCTATATTTCTGCGGAAGTCGTCTGAATTTTCTACGGAAACGCCGCACATTTATACAGAAACGCTCTGTTATTAAGGAAAACTACTTCAAGTAGACAGAACGAATGTGATTTTCTACGGAACAAGCGTGTCCCTAACGGGCCACCGTACTTTCCCCTCTATATCATTTACCATCAATATGTCCTGATAATTTTTAATAATCATCCTTTTTTCGAAGCTTTTAAGACGACAATAAATTTATTTCTCTGAGCATTCTGGTACGCCGTAGTTGTTCAAACCTCTGACGTTTGACATGGATCACCACTTTATATTGCATATTTGTATTCCCTTTCCTTTCCTATACAATCCCACACGTATTTCGACACTGTCACTCGGTCATTTAACAGCCTCGTACCCAGGCGCAAATAACGTACTAAAAATAGCAACTGTTTTGGACTTTGTCCAGTTTATTATATAGTTCATGTTAATTTATTATGGTAATAGACTTTTGTCCAGTAACATTGAAAATAGAGAGGTCAGAGGACAGAACGAACACAAAACGTTTTGAGAAACAGGGTTTTTCTGTAAAAACTGTTGAGTTGTACTAAATAAATATATGAAAACCTCATGGTTAATGAAAATTACACGCCCTCTATAACTAAGCTGGTCCTTCGTCGAGCCGGATAAGAAAGAAAATGCCAGAAGTAAGCAAAATTGACAAGTGTACAGCGAAGAGAAAAGTCGCGAAAGCTAGCGTGACAAGAAATATGAATCGTGTCAGAGAGCTGATCTCTAGCGATGGAAGTGTTTCGAAAGTCCGACAGTTTGCCAAAGGTGTAGAAGAAGGTCGTACGAAAACCCGTGACCTTACGAAAGAACTGGAAGAGCTTGATCCAGCGTCAATTGAGACTGATGGTAGCTGGTTAGAAGAGGTAGAATTTGATGTCAACGAAGTCCTGGGAGAAGTTGCTGAATATTTATTAAAGTCTGAGAGCCCATCGCCAAACGAACAGTCTAGTATTACACCACCAACTGCTCAGAATAATGATGAAAATACTGAAACTGTGAACGATTCAATGTCTGGGAAAAGAACTGGTCTGAAAGGTGTTGAAATCCCATCATTCGATGGAAAACCAGATAAGTGGCCGTACTTTTGGGGAATATTTAGTTCTCTTGTCCATAAAAACGATAAACTAACGCCAGCAATCAAGCTAGCTCATCTGAATAGCTGTTTAACGGACAGAGTACGTGAAGTTATTGCATGCCTGACCGGGGAGCCTGGGGACTATGACAGGGCAGTGAAACAACTCGCTGATAGGTATGGGGACCCCAGAGAAATTATAGATGCCCATTTGCGCAGAATAAGTTCTTGGCCCCACATTAAGGATAAGGATCGTGAAGAGTTTCAACGCTTTGCAGATGCATTACAAGCAGCTGTGTTTGCACTAGATAAACCTGACTATAGGCATGAATTAGCTAGTATACCTCTTTGTACCTTGTTGGTTCAAAAACTCCCACCTAGAGAAAGGGATGAATGGGTAAAACAAGTTGAGAGTGAAGATTACTCGGAAGACATGAAGGGTTTAGCCAAGTGGGCCCAAGTTAGAGCCAAAACCATGCGTAAACGTGAGCGATACAATATTGAGCCGCCAGATAAGGGTAAAGAGTCAACTAATTTTCAGCCACCAAGTCGCATGCGAGGTAGGGTCCATGCTCTACGCACATCTGGATTTGATCCAGAACACCAAAGTTTAAAAAATTGTCCATTGTGTGATAAAAAACACACTGAAGTCTCATGCCCTTTGTTTTTTGATAGTTCTGTTGAGAAACGTTGGGAAATTGTAAAAAATAAAAGGGTATGTTTTGGTTGTTTGAAACCTGGCCACCAACGGCGCCTGTGCACAAAGTCCTCCAAATGTGGGGTAGACTCATGTGACAAAGGCCATCATTATTTATTGCACAGTTCTAAGTCTAAGCATGAGAAACCATCTGATGACCCACCCAAGACCCCAGAGGAAAACAAAGCAATGTATTGTGGGAAAGCACAAATCAGCACACCCATAAGTGAGAGGGTTGCCCTGAAAACTGTATCTGTCCCATTTATAGATGATTCTGGAAGGGTAGTCAATGGTTTGGTACTTTTAGACTCAGGAAGTGAGACCACACTTGTAAGAGCAGGGTTTGCAAATCAGTTAGGCATAAAGGGCCCTAAGCAAAGTCTTACTGTGGATGCAGTAGGAGGGGTACGCACCGTAGTGAAATCACAACGTGTACATTTACCATTTGCACCACCCATTACAAAGGCAAAAATAACAGGGTGGACCATTAATAATATATGTGCTCCTGTCCCAGATGTTAATTGGCCTGAGATTAAGCATAATTATGCCCACCTAAATGATGTCCCAATAGAGCCACTAAGTAAGGGCACTGTTGATGTCCTGTTAGGGTTAGATGCAGCTGCATTAATGGCACCCGTGCAAGTTAGACACGGGGGGCATTTAGAGCCATATGCAGAGTTGACACCCTTAGGTTGGGTGATTGCCGGCCCAGTCCCCGCCTCCAATGGTCAGGAGAAGCGTGTCCTGTGTGTCCACGTGTCGGAGGACGAAGGCGATGCTAATCGAGAGTTACGAAAGTTCTGGGATGTGGACAGTTTCGGTGTTCGGGCAGAGATTAAGTCACCTTACACGCCTGGTGAGCAGAAAGCCTTGGACATTCTTGATCAATCATGCAAGCAGCAGGAGTTTGGTTATCAACTCGGACTTCTTTGGAAAACGAACAGACCTAGTTTACCTAATAATTATGACACTGCCTTGAAACGCCTAGAATCGGTTGAACGTCTTTTGAAGGATCCGAAGTTAGCTGAGGGATATTTAAAAGCGATAAATGCATATGTTGAAAAGGGATTTGCACGCAAGTTATCGGAAGAAGAGCGCGTAAAACATGGTGAACAGTGGTTCCTACCCCATCACCCGGTTCTCTCCCCACACAAACCCCTACCGAGAGTAGTATTTGATTCCGCAGCAAAACATGGTGATATCTGCCTTAACGATTGTCTTCAAGCTGGACCCAGTCTCCACAACGATTTACCTGGCATACTGATGAGATTCCGTGAGAAACCTGTTGCGCTTACTGGTGATGTGTCGGATATGTTCTGTCATGTGCGATTAGAACCGGAGGACTGTAAATACCATCGTTATTTATGGCGCGGATTGGATATGTCGAGACCACCTGATGTGTACGAGATGAACTGTCTGGTGTTTGGAGATAAATCTTCACCCTGCGAGGCAAACTATGCTGTGATTCGCACCACCGAAGACAACAAGGAAGAATGGCCCGTCGCAGCCGCAGTGGTCAAGCGTGATATATTTGTTGATGATTTATATACGTCCTGTTATGATGATGATGAAGCAATAACCTTGCGGAAGGATGTGACAAATTTGATGGCGAAGGGTGGATTCCCGATGCGCAAGTGGCTCTCGTCGTCACGAAAGGTCCTGGAAACAATACCCGAAGAAGAAAGGGCTGTCCCAAACAAGAACGTGAATAGTGGAGAACTTCCGTCAGGGCGTGCGTTGGGGGTGAAATGGGATGCAAAGTCCGACAATCTAGGCTTTGCATTAGCACACATTGATCGTCCGAAGGCGCAAAATACAAAGCGAGGTATTCTGAAAAGATTGGCTGCATTGTACGACCCGTTGGGCTGGGCTAGTCCGTACGTTGTCCGTGCCAAGATTCTTCTGCAACGCACCTGGTCTCGTGGCCTCCAGTGGGATGAACAACTTCCACCGGACTTAGCAATTGAATGGCAGAAGTGGGAGGAGGAGATGATTTGGCTCAAAGCTTTCTCGGTCCCGCGCTATATCTACCGTGAGCCTTCGAAAGTCTGGTCTAAGTTTCTCATAGTCTTTTGTGATGCTTCAGAAGTAGCCTACGCCGCTGCTGCCTTTATACGTGCAAAGTCAACCGATGGAGATTACGTGTGCCATTTGATTATGTCGAAGACTCGTTTAATGCCGCTCAAGACAGTCTCTATTCCGCGCGGAGAATTGATGGCTTGTCAACTTGCTGTCCGACTGGCGAAGTCTGTTTGTGAGCAACTGGGACTTGACAAGTGTCGTGTCAAGTATCTGTCTGATTCCACGACTGCGTTATGGTGGATCAAGAGTGAGCCAAGGAAATTTCGTCCATTTGTTGCCAATCGAGTGGCAGAGATCCTGTCGGAGAGTGATCCAATTCAGTGGCATCACATTGGCACGAAGCTGAATATTGCAGATATTGCGAGCAGAGGAACGTCTGTAGCTGATATTTCCGCTGATTCAACCTGGATTCAGGGACCAGAGTTCTTAAAGTCTGAGTTCTCTGAGTGGCCTGTTGATAAAGTTGCAGTTGATTTTCCAGAGCCAAGTCAAGCGGAGTTGAAGAAATCGGTTTTGAAGGCAAAGGTCGCACCAGCGAAGCCAGTTATTGATCCTGCCGCGTATTCTAGCTGGATCAAACTCACCCGAATAACCGCATGGATATTTCGCATGTGTAACAATCTGCGCAACAAAGAGAAACGAATATCGGGACCGTTGACTGTGGACGAACTCGATAATGCTAACTTGTACTGGATCAGATGGGGCCAGAGCGATCGCTTCCAAGACGAAATCGAAGCGTTGAGAAAGGGTCGTCCGGTTCCACGAGATAGTCGTATTGCAAGTCTCGATCCCCAACTCGTGGACGGTGTTTTACGGGTAGGCGGCAGAATCGAAAAGGCGGAAATTCCGTGGGAGTCGAAGCATCCAGTTATATTGGACCACGGACATGATGTCACCCGGTTGATCGTGATCCACTACCACCGAAAACTTATCCACGCGGGAGTCGAACATGTCTTTAATCACGTACGTGAGAAATACTGGATTTTGCACGGTCGAGCCGAAGTTAAGAACTGTACAGTTAAGTGCCCACTATGTTTTCGCCGTCGTGTTAAACCTATGACGCAGAAAATGGCTAATTTACCGAATGTACGTCTCGCAGGCGCAAGTGTTCCTTTTCGACACGTTGGGATTGATTATGCCGGACCGTTTGAGACTCGAATTGGACGCAATCGAAAGGAAAAACGCTATATTTGCTTATTTACGTGTCTCCATATGCGCGCGGTTCATCTCGAGGTCGCACATAGTTTGGACACTGACTCGTGTATAATGGCGTTGCGACGATTTCAAGCTCGTAGAGGAGTCCCTGTTTGTATAATGAGTGATAATGGGACAAATTTCGTAGGTGCCGAAAGAGAGTTGCGCGAAGCGTTGGAAGATCTGGATCAAGAGAAAATCTCGAATGAGTTAACAGCACGTGGAGTACGTTGGATCTTTAACCCGCCTGCTGCCCCATGGTTTGGAGGTGCCTGGGAAGCGTTAGTAAAGTCTGTCAAACGGGCATTGAAAGTTATGCTTGGGAATGTTCTCACAGTCGATGAAGTTTTCCTTACTGTCATTGCCGAGGTAGAAGCGATGCTGAACTCTCGTCCGCTTGTCTATGGTGGAAGCAGTGATTCACCAACAGATCTCAGCGTGATTACACCAAACCACTTCTTGCATGGTCGTGCGAGTTGAAACGTGTCGCCCGGCGAGTTTAACCAACGGGATATGTCGTTACGTCGAAGATGGCGTCATAGCCAGTTCTTAGCGAACCAATTCTGGCGCCGATGGTCGAATGAGTACATTCCGCAGTTAATAAAGCGAAGCAAATGGAATGTTGCACACAGAAATCTACGTCGCGGTGATCTTGTCGTGATCGTTGAGAAGGACGTACCTCGTTCGCATTGGAGGCTCGGAAGAGTGATTGCACCGATCGCAAGTGAAGACGGACTGATCAGATCCGCGGAGATTGCAACGAAAACTGGAACATTGACACGTCCTGTAGGACGGTTAGCATTACTGGAAGCTTTTAATGATGAGTAACGTTCCCCCCGTTCACGTCACGGGCGGGGGTGTTTTGGACTTTGTCCAGTTTATTATATAGTTCATGTTAATTTATTATGGTAATAGACTTTTGTCCAGTAACATTGAAAATAGAGAGGTCAGAGGACAGAACGAACACAAAACGTTTTGAGAAACAGGGTTTTTCTGTAAAAACTGTTGAGTTGTACTAAATAAATATATGAAAACCTCATGGTTAACGAAAATTACAAGCCGTCTATAACAGCAAGTGAATTTAAAATAGTATATTGGAAGCCTTTATTACTTAGTTTTTACAAGCTATTGCCAAAATGCCTCAATTTGCTCGTTTTGTTGACAAAATAAGTTATTTCCATCAAGTACCGATTTGTTATTGCATCTCAAATTTTTGACTCTCCAATCGCAATCACTTAAAATACTATTATTCACGAACTACTGGATTAAATTTACGAAACAACCCATCGTTGGAAAGCTGAATGTCTACGCTTTAAAACAAATGTAAACCTGAACGTTTTACTCTAATATTCGTTTCGAAATTTATATTTGAAACGAGGACTCCGTTTTTTATGATACACCCTGTATATGCTACACCACTATCAGTTTGATAAATTCGATGGTGTTCTGCGAACCTAAACACTACAACCGTGCAAACCATGTTCAATATGTTCATAGTTCTTCGATCCTTATAAAATTAGTCTTCGCGCGTCACCGAGCTGTCCACTGTTATTTTTGTTCATTTGGTGACCCAAAAACTTTGCGCTAGTGCATACGTATTTTCAGCACGTTAAAATTCCCCACTAGCACTTAGCTCCTGGAGAAATTACCCGCTCTTTTTTTAATTACCCGCTCCTTTTACCCGCGACCCGCTCTTTTTACGCGCGACCCGCTCCCCGCTCCAAATAGATACTCCCCTCAGCAAGTACCGTAAACAGAAGCAGTCACCCCCCTGGACGTTTGCCATTTTTGGATATTTCCAGGGGGTGACTGAGATGAACTTCTGTATAGTATTCTGTGCCATTGAAACGGGTGATGAGAGAGGCAGGGGGAATCGTAAAATGCACCTGATGTTTATCTTAATGTTTGTTGTCAAAGATTGTAGTTTAGAGTGTTTTGCGAGAACAACAAAATATTCTGTATGCATGACCTTCATGTTTTTATTTTAAGCTTTAACAGACATCAGGTTTGATCAAACACAACCAATTCCGCAAATGTTTGAACTAAAGTTTAAAAAGGACAACGTTTGGTATGCTGTTCACGCATCACATAGCGATGTGACAGCATCTCAGGTTAGTGAAATATATACGTGTATGTATAATAACAGGGTGCAATAATTCGCGTACCGTATTTACTCGTCAAACCGGATATAATTGTGATATAATGAGCCTAGAGAAGCTTATAGTATATAGTAGAAAATAGACCATTATTTTTTTAAGTCTTGATTTTTTGAAAGGTGACCGGCGATACATCGTTTGAAGTGATGGCATTACGTTCACCCAATCAACCATTTGTTGTACTTCGATCAAATAAAAAGCTAGGCAACGACGACCTGTACTTGAGCAGTGAAGGAGCGGGGAAAATGAAACTGAAAGTTCCGAATCAACCAATCAGACGCTCTGCGCCAGAAGTCGACCCTGCCTTGTTATTTCGAGTGGTCAGGCCGTTCATTGGACCGATTTAAATTGCCAATATATATACACTCGGGCGGTCAAAAAGACTGCTCAAAAGTATTAGATGAAATAATAACACGAATCAGTAAATTTAAAATCATTCCAACATATCAATAAGATGAAATATGTAATGTGTTGTAATTGATGTAAATGTTTAGTTTAATTAAGGAACCCTGAGAATGGGGCACTAAGCCCTGTATAGGACTCACCAGCCATTTATGACAAAGCTCGTAGTAAATCAATTACATTCATTTTGAAATCAATGGAGTGTTTCCGCAATTTGATTGGTTCACAGGGAATCACAGGAGTGTGATTTGGCACCACGAATCTTCTTTTTTGGCCAGACCTGCAGTTTTCGCACAAAATGCTATTTTATCTTCAATAATTTCACGACAAATTTGTCATTGTTCATCGACACGGATCGATGACGATACACGATTATGTCACTCAAAAGGACCTTTTATTCCTTTGAGTTTTGTCCCATGAGTACAAGACCTTGTGTTCTTACCCAACGGCATATTGTAAACACTGGACTGGACTTTGGACTATGGACTATGGACTATGGACTTTGGACTTTGGACTTTGGACTTTGGACTTTCGATTTTGAAATTATATTATTTTTAAGATTTTCGTATAATTATATTTGTGCATGATATAATAATATTCAAGGTAAAAAATACTATCAGTTATATAGGTATACCAGTGCAATTTCATAGATATAGCTTGTGGGATAACAGGATCATCTCAGTAATATTTTTAATTTAATATTTAAATTTTATTATAATATTTGTATTTATAGTATGTATAGTACAGTTCATACTGCAGAACTTCTTCTTTATCGTATAGATAATAATAGATTTATAGAAACAATTGTGACAAAAGTAGCTTGGCAAATACAAAATATTGAGAAACTAGCACGTATAAGTATAAACTACACGCGATTATTATTGCGCCTTTGGCTTTGAACAATTATTCGCCAAGGCGAGGCCGTGATTATCGGGGAATTTGTAGTCTCCCTCGCAGCCGCCAGTTGTGTCAAATTTGACCAATCAACTTGACAACTTGTAGGATTTGTTATATATTTATTCACTTGCGCAAAAATACTAATAGTACTAATGACGGTATTGTTCATCTTTGCATAATAGTTTACACCGGTTTAGCGCCTGCCTAAATAGGCTGTGTTTACAATGTATTTTGTCTGTGTCAGTTTTAGCTTTTCATAAATGTTTCAGCCATACTGAACACGAAAACTCTCATAGTCATCATACTTTATAAAATACGAATGTATGATACATGCATTATTAATTGGTAGTACTGATTACTTTATGATAATCTACTATATAGTATTACTTTATGTATATATTTATGTCTATATTATTGTCTATATATATGGCTCTTTTGCGTACGTTATGCGGCTGAGCATTAATCTTTATACTACGATTACGATTCCCGCCTGGTTCATCACTTGCAAGTGGTAGTATTACAGTAAACGTGGCAAATAGTTGCTAGACTACCTGAAGCACATAGGACATAGATTTTTGCCTTCTCACACACAACTGAGTAGGTCTTAAAAAGTGTGTAAATTTCCGTTGGAATATTCCTGTCCATCTACTAACACTTATTAATAATTAGTAACTAGAATGTCTTTCAAAAATAAGTAACATTAACAAAACGTTACTGTGTAACAGAGTAAACAATTACACAATTCAGTACTAGTATAAACTATTATGCAAAGATGAACAGTCACAATACTCAATACTCAATAGCGCAATAATAATCACTTGTATAGTTAATATTTTGTATTTGCCGAGACACTTTTGTCGCATTTGTTTCTGACAATTAATCTATTATCTATATGATAAAGAAGAAGTTCTGCAGTATAAACTGTACTATGCATCAGCTATAAATACAAATATTATATAAAATTTAAATATTAAATCCCAAAATATTGGATAATCCTGCTATCCTACAGGCTATATCCGTATGAAATTGCACTGCTGGTATACCTATATAACTGATACTAGAGATTTTTTACCTTGTATATTATATCATGCATGTGCATGCAGTGTAGCACGCTTTTCAGCAGCAAATTTTCGTTCTCTGTTTAGATTTTAATATAATTATATACGAAAATCTAAAAAAAAAATATAATTTCAAAATCGAAAGTCCAAAGTCCAAAGTCCATAGTCCAAAGTCCAAAGTCCAGTCCAAAGTCCAGTCTAATATTTATGGAAATATTACGAATTATAATCAGGGAGCAGGGTAAAAAGAAACCTAATTAGGATGTGGTGAACTGGAAAAGATAAAACATCTCGGGAGGTTTGAGGGCGTCCATCAGAAAATGTTCGCACTTTTGAGTTCTATCGGGAGCTGGCCTCCAATGTATTTGTGAATGCTAAAGAAAATTAAATTCATTATTGCGCAAAATGTCAACAATCCTACACAAATTGCATGGTTATTAATAAAATTAGCACTACACGACCGGTGCTAAAGCACATAGTCCACCATAGAAAGCGACTTTGTCATATGCGAAAACATTTGAAAGTCTTGATAGAATTCCTATAATATTTAAAAGAGTGTGTCGTTCGAAGGTAACGAAGAAAAACCCCTTCCGAAATAAAGACACCAGACTTAAAAGTCAAGATAAGCCGAGAAACGAGCAGAAGCAGATTGATGCCATGCAGACTGAGAATTTAGATTCCAGTGGCTCCCCAGCAACACCAGCGGTGGATCAGTTGTATTTTTATACCTTATCGATTAATCAGATGTCAAAGAGCAACACCTAAGCACTCGTCCAAGTACAGGTGAACACGTCTCAAGGTGCCAAGCCTTTGTGGTGCAAAGTGGATACCGGTGCAGAAGGTAATAGGGAGCTTTAGATTTGACTACGAGTACGACTACGAGTACGAGATTTGATCGCGTGCGAGGAAATTACCGTAGCCGTTTTCGTTTCAATTCAAATGTTGCTTTTATAACAGTAAATCAACAACTAGAGAAAAAGTTTCATAAACTAAATCTCCTGCCGACTAAAATCCCCTACAAAACGTGTAAATAAATCATAACATTAAAAATAGGCCAGATATTTAGTACTAATATATTATTTGCGCCGGATAAACGCTATATAAATGCTACAAATTATTTTTGGAAACAAAAAAAAGCCAACTTTCTTTGTTTTTTTTGTTGAAAAGTCGTCGTGAGGACTACGAGGTTTCTCCACAATTTCGTACTCAGATGGGCGACGGCTACGACTTTTTAGCGTCAGTACGGGATGGCGTAAGCATACAGCATGCGTTTAGCTCGACGAATCTCGTAGTCGTACTCGTAGTCAAATCTAAAGCTCCCTAATGTCATTTCTGTAGAAACATATAAGAAGCTGCATCCAACAGTATCATGTAATGCCAAAGGTGTACCCGTGAATCTAACACAGTTATCACTGCTTATGGTGGTCATTCTGTGCTCGGAACTTGTCGCATGAACATCACTCTAAGCCTTATGTCTTTCATGTAGTAGACACTGTTGGACTTGCAATTCTTGGGTTGCCAACATGTACTGATTTGAATCTGATTACCCTAAACTACAGTATTACCCAGTCAAAGGAACTACAACCATTGTGCCCTAAACCACCATCCACCAGAAATTCAGCTGCAAAAGAGAACCTTATCAAGCGTTATTGTGACTGCTTCGAAGGAATTGGTGCTTCCAAGGAGAATTCCACGTCACCTTGGATCTTTCAATACCCCTTATTGTACACCCTCCACGCAGAGTTCCAGAAGCCTTAAGAGAAGCTCTAAAAAAGGAATTTGATTCATCGGTTGAACAAGGAATTATTGCTAAGGTGGAACAGCCTACAGATTGGGTGAAGTCATTGGTTTGCGTCACAAAGAGTAATGGCAGTCTACGGCTGTGTTTGGACCCAAGGGATTTGAATCGTGCAATTAAGCGCCCTCACCATTTTACTCCAACCCTGGACGATGTTCTTTCTAAGTTGAATGGTGCAACATGTTTTTCTATTATCGACGTACGCAGTGGATATTGGAACATTAAATTGGACCAAAAAGTTCACTCTACACAACCTTTAACTCGCCCTATGGAATATATAGATTTCTTCGCTTGCCATTTGGGTTGGTATGCGCACAAGATATCTTCCAACGAAAGGTCGACGAAACTTTCAGTGGTTTAGCTGGTGTGACCGGAATCGTTGACGACATCATAGTGTATGGTTATCAGAGCAATCATAGTGACCATGATGAGAACCTGCATGCAGTCATGCAGCGTGCCCGTGAAACTGGCCTGAAGTTCGACATAGAGAAATGCCAAATTAGATGCGAATCTATACCCTTCTTTGGTCGTGTTGTTGGTGCAGATGGTCTTCGGCCTGACCAGAAGAAAGTTGAGGCTATTCGTTCAATGGATTCGTCAAACAATGTTGCTGACCTTTGAACATTTCTTGGTATGGTGCAATTCCTGAGTCGCTTCGTACCAGATTTGGCGACATTGGCAGCAGACCTATGGGCACTAACGAAACCACTAGTGAATTTGTTTGGAGTCCTGAGCACGATATCGCGGTGGTTAGGATCAAGAAAGCAATCACCTCTCCAAAGTCCCTGCAATACTTCAATAGCTCAGAGCCTGTTACAATCCAAGTGGGTGCATCGCAGCGCGGTATTGGAGCCGTCCTCCTCCAGGACAAAGGTCCATATATATTTACTATATATATATATATATATATATATTTACTATATATAAATATATATATATAAATATATATATATATATATATATATATATATATATATATATATATATATATATATATATATATATATATATATATATATATATATATACCGTATATATGATTTGTTCTTTCTTGCCAGTAGATGTCGATTGTAGTTGGATATAGTGTTCTTAATGTTGGTCATGCAGGAATAACTCACTTTCACGGTGTTCCGGTTAAAGATTTTATGGAGTCGAGTTGAATGTGGGAAGTGCTTGTCGATGAGTTGTAAGAAGCTATGTGCCACGTTGGTTTTTACGTTCTTACTGAAGGGCGGGTTAAACCATATCACCATTCTTTGCCGTTTTTTTCTGTTTGGTGTTGGGGTGTCGCCGGTACTATTGGTTGAATATTGGAGTTTGACGTTGTAATTGCTGCGGTGAAGTGCGTCTTCGTACAATGCTGCTGATGAATCAAAAGATAATTGATCAGAGGATAAGCTAGATATTCTTTTGCTTATGGATTCTGGGACATGCTTGATGATAGAAGGGGGGTGATTTGACCGGCTGTCTATATAGAGAGGGTCGTTATTGGGTTTTCTGTAAGCTGAATATCTCCCTGTTTGCAAATTGAAGGTTACGTCCAAGTAATTGACGATTTGGTTGTTAACTTCGGCAGTGATCTTAAAGCCAAGTTTGTGAAATATGCAATGTAGAGACTTTCGAGCGTTGTCTGCCAATCTTTTTCCGGTTCCACTCAACAACATTAAGCCATCATCTCGATATAGTCCAATGTTATTCTTTCCAAATTTCTCAGAAAGCTGAAAGTGACGAGAATTAGCCAAAATCGGCCTACCAAATATTTATTACAGCAAAAACCTAATCAAGCATTTGAGGAAGACGTCATTCATCTAGTGTCAAATGTCAAATTCAGAAAGATCTCAGATCCGTTTTTGAATAATATCGCTAGAGACCTGGAGAAAGTTAATTCTTCTCAAAATGTTTTAATATTTGCCGACAAAACAAGAAATGTCTATAAAGCTGCAACCGAAACATATAACAAACTATTGACTGACAGCATAACGAAAACATATAAATTGGGAAGCGACGATATATCTGATGTTATCAATGCTGAAATAAAGAATATAACGAGCAATCTGTCGATCGCGGATCGTGTCGACCCAATGGCGAGAAGAAACGCGTTCATAACTCTCAAAGACCATAAAGAGAATTTCGACTCTAACCCCAAATGCCGCCTTATCAATCCATCGAAAAGCGAACTAGGAAAGGTTAGCAAGATAATACTCGATGACATTAACAACAATATTAGATCAACCTTAAGTTTGAATCAGTGGAAAAATACAGAATCCGTAATCAGCTGGTTCCAAGCCATCAACGATAAACATAATCACACGTTCCTTTCCTTTGATATCGTTGAGTTTTACCCGTCTATATCCGAGCATCTCCTTGACGAAATTATTTCATGGGCCCAAACATTAACTGACATTACGGATCAGCACATTTCTATTATTAAGCACGCAAGAAAATCCTTACTTTTTCATGATGAGAAAACGTGGATAAAAAGAAACAACCAATCTCTATTCGACGTAGCAATGGGAAGTTACGATGGAGCCGAGGTATGTGAGCTGGTCGGACTATTCATTTTGAATAAGCTTTCTGAGAAATTTGGAAAGAATAACATTGGACTATATTATTATTATTATTATTATTATTATTATTAAAACTTATTTACAAACAATAACCCTTCAGCCTACGCTGCTTTTAAAGGGGTTGTTTACATAAAAGAAAGTACAAAATAAATATTTACAAAATAGTATAAGTATTTACAAAATAGTGTAATTGACTAGGAGTCTTTACAATTGGATATTTTATCAACGTAGGTGATTGTTGAGCTTAGTTTTAAAAGAATGTATCGTCAACTGTTCGTGAACGTCTAAGATTTCGTTAGGTAATGAGTTCCAGGCGGAAGCTCCTCGATATGAAAATGACTTTTTCATAAATGATCTATTAGGTTTATCGAGAGTTAGTTTCCGCCCGTTGCTCCGCATGTGGTGACTTCTATTATCACAGTAGGAGAACATATTACAGATGCACTCCGGCGCTATACCTCGGATAGCCTTAAACGTAATTAGAAATTCTCTTTTTTTAAGAATGTTATCTATTGGATGCCAACCTAGACTCTGGAGGATTGTTTTTGATCTTGTTTCATAGTTTAATCCAGTAATTATACGAGCGGCTCGCTTTTGTAATTTATAAAGTTTTTCCAAATTTGTTTTGTTTCCATCGTTCCAAACTGTCGAACAGTATGTAAAGTAAGGAACTACCAGGGAATTGTAAATACGGAGTAAGTCGTTGTAAGGTACGTGTGGTTTTGCCTTTCTAAGCAGAGCTATTGCACTTGAAAGTTTTTGCATTGCTCATTAATGTGTTCAGTCCACCTTAGTTCGTTATCAATTGTAATACCTAAGGGTTTTTTTTGCTTAACTTGTTTAATAATGGATCCGTTTATATGTATACGAATATCAGTGCGAAATTGATTAAGTTTTCTTTTTGAGGCTATTATCATAAATTCTGTTTTGTCTGTGTTCAATGTCAACCTATTTGCTTCTAACCAGTCGTTAACATTGGATAAGTCAGCGTTTAGTTTGTGCTCAATTTCGGCTGGGGTCCTTCCTGTGCATGATAGATTGGTGTCATCAGCAAACATGGATGCTTGTGTGTACTCAAGGCACATTGGTAAATCATTTATGTACAATGAGAATAGCAATGGTCCCAGATTGGAACCCTGTGGTACTCCACATTGAACTGTTTCTTGGCCTGACTTGTTATTATTAATGACACAAACTTGTTTTCTGTTGTTTAAGTAAGATGCTAGTAATTTTAGAGGAGTACCCTTTATACCATATTGGTATAGCTTTTGTAGGAGAATAGAATGATCAACCGTGTCAAACGCTTTTTTAAGATCCAAAAATAGCACTCCATTTGCCATTCCTTTATCCATGTTGAGTAGCCATTGATCTGTGCATTTTAATAGGGCAGTTTCTGTAGAATGATTTGGTCTAAAGCCAAATTGCTGTTTACAAATGATGTCGTTGTCATTGATATATGAACTTAATTGGTCGTATATAATCTTTTCAAGGATTTTGGCGACAGTAGGAATTACAGATATAGGCCGGTAGTTTCCGCATTCCGCCTTGTCACCTTCTTTATGAATAGGTATTATTTTAGCAAGTTTTAAATCATCTGGGAAAATGCCAGTGCCCAGTACAAGGTTAAAGATATGTAGTAAGGAGTCGTGAATGGCATCTCCTGCTAGTTTAATTAGTTTAATTGGTATTTTGTCTAGACCTGGGGCCTTGTTTAAGTTAGTTTTCCCAATTGTTTGAATTAATTCTGTCGTTGTTATTGTTCTTAAGTTAAATTCAGATCTACAAGGCTGAATAGGTTGTATAGGGTCTATGTCTGTAGGAGAAATAACGGAAGCAAGTTTGGGTCCAATTTCTACAAAGTAGTTATTAATTGTATTTGCTATGTTGATATCACCTGTAATATTTTGGTCTCCAAATTTAATGTTATTGATCGTCTGAGTTTTGACCGTTTTGTGGTTTAGCAGTTTGTTTATGTGAATCCAGTTTTCTTTGCAATTTTTGCTGTTTTCGAGATTGGTTCTAAAGTAGTGAGTTTTTGCATTGCTAATAAGTTTAGTTACTTTGTTTTTACATTTTTTGTATGAACTATGAAAGGCAGAGGAATTTAACATGACTGCTTTCTTTTTTAAGTAGTCTCTGTGAAAGCTCAGTTTTTTAATTTCATCAGTCATCCACGGTTGTCGGTCACTTCTCACTTTTCTCAATCGTATAGGAGCATTTATATCAGCTATCAGTAGAAAAATTCTGTTCCATTCCTGTAGGGCCGTATTTGGATCTGAATGTTCATTAATATGTAGTAAAGCTTGTTTTAAATCGTTTTGGAATTTCGCATTATTTAGTTTATGGTATTGCCTTGTTTCAATAATTTTGGGTTTTTGTTTACATATTCCGACCTTTCTACAAGTGTAGACTAGGTTGTGGTCGCTTATACCTAGCTCAACAACGTCCGTTGTAGCGGTTTTTGGGTCGTCAGTTTTACAAATTATTAAATCTAAGAGCGTCTTCGTTGATTCTGTTGTTCTAGTAGGCTTTTTAATAAGTTGAGACAATTGATATGTGTTTAGTAATTCTTTAAGCCTTTTTGCCTTACTATTCTCGGTCTCACTGGGCATTAAATCTATATTAAAGTCTCCAGTTATTATAATTTCTTTATTTTCTGTGTCAATGTTTTGAAGAAAGATTTCAAAAGAGTCGAGAATCTCAGAATTGGAGTTTGGTGGTCGGTACCACGTCGAAATGAGTATTGGCTTGGCATTCGGCTTTCTTACTTCGATACATACTGCCTCTACATTTTCAGGGATTATTGTTGACCTCTCCACGTATGGTATGGTATTACGTATGTATATTGCTACACCCCCACCGCGTCTATTTCTGTCACGTCTTGTTAAGTCGTATCCCTGAAGTCCTATTTCTGAGTTCTTAATTGTTTTGTCAATTCTTGTTTCATTAATACATAGTATGTCAAAGTTCATTTCTGTTATGAGAATCCTGAGTTCGTCAATATGTTTAGTCAGACTGGTAATATTTAACTGCGCAATTGAAAAGCCCTTAAGTTTTGGATATAGTTTGCTTTGGTTATCCGTTGATACTGCACCGGAGTTTCTAATAGGTTCTTGCATCATTAGGTTTTGTGTATTAACATTTAGTCGATTTTGATTACTTACATACAGTTTAAAGTTCTTAGCTAGGACCGTCGAACCTCTTGGGTTTAAGTGGAGTCCATAGTTGTTTAAATGTTCTTTCTTTATATTAGAGTTCTTAATTAACCCCCAATTTCGCTCAGTACAAAGGTTAGCTAGAAGTTCATTATAAATATTTACCTTGTCCGCTAGAGTTTCATCGTCACATCTGGTTATAATCTCTGATAATGTCAGTTTAACATCTTTACTCTCCGTAATCATTTCTCCAAGATTGTCTACCGTTTTAAGTAGGGGACTGGGTGACTTGTTTTTCAAGTCATTTGTACCGATATGTACAATGACTTCAGCTGGATTCGAGGCTAGAGTTGGCTTCACGTAATGAGTCATATCTTCTACATGCGCACCCGGGAATGTTTTTACAATGACTTTTTGTTTAAGGCCATGTTGAAGTTTTCTTGAGTTTATACCTTTAATCATTGAATCTCCCAGGATAGCAATCTTTCGCTGTTGAGCTGACGTTGTACTTCTTGGTTTCGGGTCTTGTAGTTTTCTGGTCGTCTTTGTTTTTGGTGTGTGATGTGGAAAGTATTTATTTCTACTCCCAGCTGAATTTACTGACGCTTTAGTTTCGTCACTATCAATGACAATTTCTGTGTCATCCTCGACGTGCAGGGCCGAGTATTTGTTGTTGTTGTTTAACTCAAGGTTTATTGGGTGACCTTTCGACTTGCCAGATACTGTAATCCATGGATGCTGTTGGGCTTCATGTTTGTCAGTTAGTGATTGCATATTTCCTTCCGCAGTTTCCAGGTCGGCGTATAAGATCTTCAGCGCAGTTTTGAGGCTTTGCTTCTCGCTTTCTAATTCTTCAATCTTGGAGTTTAGGTCTGCCACAGAATGTGTGATATTGATGTTTTTCTCTCGAAGTAACTTGATTTCATTCTTTAGGTCTTGGTTTTCATTCGATAACAGGTTGACCAAATCAACACTCGCGTCGTTATTTGTTAAAGTACTGATACTTTTGTTCATTTTAAGTTCGCTGACTTCAGAGACAAGATTACTGATTTTCAGGTTTGTTGTTTGAATAAACTTTTCCACTTTGATTATAAATTCGTTTTGTGGATGGTCTCTTTGTTGAATGTCCGCTTGAGTGAACACTGCGCCCAAGGGGCCATTAGGCTTTGTCTGTACGGTATGTAAATTGTCTTGTTGTTTATCACAGCTTGACTTCGTTCTCACTTCTTCTTTGTTTTGTGCTAATAGCAATAATTTATTTTTTACTTCCTTGCTCTTTTCTCCCCCAAATGTTAGTGAACCTTTCGATGAATACCACCGTATTATCAGCCCGGAATCTTCACACTTCTTGCAGTCCCCACCAGAGGAAGTCCCCACCAGTGGTTCATCATAGTGCTAAGCATTCAAGTTCGAACAACAGTTTGATTTCTAAACGTCTGGAGCTTTTTATACACTCTGTAGTACGCTGTACACTGGCGTGACTCGTTCAAACTGCAGCGTTGTTTACATCATTTTCGTCGCATAAGTACGAATTATTGGGTTTAATTAATTATGGAAATCGGGAAAAAAATATTGCTTTTGAAAAATGTAATGTTTATACACCTGCCTGTCATAGTTTTATATTACACATTAAGCGCAAATATCTTTTATTTGAATGCACGTTAGATCGCGCTCTAGTATAGTGCACATTCGACTTTCGTCCACGTCTTATAATAGCAAAACTAATTTATTGAGTGAAAAAGTCAGTACATTGGATATCGGAAAAGTAAGGAACTGACAAGTAAGTCTACTTATTAATTCAAATAAGTAAGTAGTGATATGCAGTACTGCAATTATCATTAGTATCTTTTACTCCCGTGAATGGAGCCTAAACTCGATGAATTCGAAATCCTACAGTCAACTTCAAACGATTTAAATCATACAAACTGGCCAGATGAAACCGGATTAATACGTAACCGCGTGATGAAGTGGAACCCGGCATATTATTAAAGACGAATTCCAAAGTTCTTATAGAAGAATCATATATCAAATAATATTCTATAAATATACCCCCTTATTTAGGTCCTCAGTCTAGTCTATTCGACGTTACTTCATAAAATACATCAGCTCAAACGGTACATCACCGTGTCACGTCACTGTCTCTTGCAAAAGGGTATAGGCTACGTCACCCCATAGGTGACAATCACCATTAGGTTACATCATACGTTCATAGGGTTACGATAGCACGTAACCATGTAACGCAACCTAATGAAATGGCCTTTAAAAGTACAAGAGAACAATTCGTTACCTTGATGAAATAGAAAACATATGTATAATTATAATATACGTCATTGTTATATAGTAGCTATCTTTACATTAAAATCGTAGGTACCTCGGATCCTTTATAATCAATTGGGAAATAACCGGTTGGAAAATCCGTACACCAGTGAGAGAGAATCTCAATAAATTTAAACTCCAAAAACTATCTTCATAAACATAAAATCACTGTACAGTAAAGTCTTAAATATATGTAGTAAATATTAAACATGTGTTTAATTTTAAATATGTAATTGTAGGATTGACACAATGTTTGATACATTTGAAGAAAGATGTCGGTCCATTAAACCTCCAACAGAGATGTCCTTTATAACAGGCGGTGTAACCATCTTGCTCATCCTCACTAATATTCCTGGAAATATTCTCGTCATCCTGGCCGTTGTTTTGGATCCAAACAAAAACTTGCGAACTCCTTTCAACTGGTTAGTGGTAAATTTAGCAGCTGCTGATATAATGGTTGGCATTATCGCTCAGCCTCTCGCGGTTTATTTTCACATCAAAGAAGGTTTGGAAGACGGAGTTGACGCTGAAGAATCAATAGCAATCTACATAGTTTACTTCACTTCGTGTACAGCATCTATTCTTAGCGTTTCAAGTCTCGCTGTTGAAAGATATTTGGCTGTAAGGAAACCAAATACTTATCGTACTAAGGTGACTAATAAACGGATTTTGCTAACAATAGCGATTATTTGGGTGATTTCTTTGAGTTTACCTAACATCAATCTTAATGTTGGTTTTTCTACATACGCATTCATATTTACCAACAGCTCTGTGGTAGTGGGTGTAATAATAATTTGTAGAACATATACTCTGGTGAAGCACAAAGTTAGTATGAGTGAAATGAGATCCCATCATGGGCGGTGTAGGTCGATTCTTTTAACTTCAGGAGAAGGAGGAAATAAACCATCGCAACACGAAAGCCCTTCAGCTGTCATCACAGAGACAGATTACCCAAATGCTAGAACTCAAAACAGACATTCGTTCGAACAAAATGCTCCATCAACTTCAACAGAAAAAAACTTACCATCGCAAGTTCGAAGCCCGCTTCCAACTGTCAACACAACCATAAGTTCCTCGAACGCTATCACTAGCAGCAGGCAACTGTTGGAAGCCAAGGTTACTAACATATTCCTGATTGTCCTCGTAGCTCTGTTGTGTTGCTATGGACCCTCGACTATACTGATATACTTGGTAAGCTTCTGCGAAGATTGCAGTTGTACAACCCTTCACTGTCTTGAAGACATCAGTGTCTTGTTCACTTTTATGAATTCTAGCCTTAACTTTTTTTGTTATGCTCTAAGATCCAGCAGATTCCGAAACTCGTTTCTCAAATTGTTAAGAATGAATCGTCGTCGAAACTTTTCGAGCTCTTTCAACGCTAACATTGCGCAATAGGCTCCTGCTGAAGAACAAGCTGTCCTCTTACTTCCACTACGTCTGGTCAATCATCGGATTCGGATTAAGACATAAACATGTGTATTACAGTATAAGAATTATTTTAGGCACCCTGCGTAAGAGAAAAGAACAACTGTGACAGTGTGAAAAAAACGACACTGAGATTTTTATGAACTAAAGCGGCAAACCTTGATTTCAGTTGTTGTAACTTAAAATGAACAATTGCATTTGTGTAATTTACATGTAGGCCTATCAATAATGTGTACTAACCAGTGAAATTAATATAACTGAAACGCTACTTTCAGATGAAATGCCTTTTTCTTTTTCTTGAAGCCAGATCGGATCCCCAGACACGCGCGTGTCTGGTGGTCAAGGTTCGTGTGTTTATGCCGCGCGATTCTTTCCCGAGCACGCCGCTATTATTAGCAAAAAATAATAAAGAACTAAAAGTAAAGTTTTCTGGAAATTTTACCTAAATAAATGCATTGATAGAAAGCCATGAGCGCTATTAAAAATGCTTTTTGAAGCTATTTTTCAAGAATAACTATTAATGTTGTTGATTGTTTACCGCGCTTTATACGCAATCGTGAAAAGACTGTGACCATCAAATTTCTGGTTGGAAGTGCATTTCAGTTATATTCATTTCACTGGTACTAACACAAATATTTCAGCCAATAAAATTTCCTATTGTATTTACTTCTGCATTTATCTTTACAATATAATTTTATCTTTACATCACGTTATTTGATTGGTTATAATTAGCCTATGTTGTTCACACATCATAATTTACACGCACGCGCAAATAACGATTAGGTCAAATGGATATTTTATAACGTATGTAGCTTGAATTGGGCTTGATAGGGCTATTTTTCTCGCGTTTTCTTTGGTGAAATTTTTTTAAACTCCGCAGATTTGTTAAGCATGTTGATCAGTCAAACGTATCAAAATTCTAAGAAATTCTACAAAACGTATTTTCTATATTGATTATAAACCGTTGTAAACCTCCCTTCAAATGTTATTCCTCTATCAACCATTATTTCAAAAATTTTTTTTAGAAAAATTGAGGGAAGAAAAAAGGATATTGTCTTTGATTGTGAAAGTAGACAATAAAAATACAAAATATGAAACGTCATGGTTGCCATGGCAACATTACCACCGTTCCAATTTATTCATATATTGATAGCACAAGACTTCTGAGCTTTTCTGGAAATAATAATATTGCCCTGTCTTAATTGTATCAATATAATTTTGATTGAAAACGAATGTTACCTAAAATACTTAAAATTTAGAAAATTGTATGGAGCCATCTTAAAACGAAACGACACTGCTGCAATCTAATAATGAATGTCTTATTAATTTGGATGAAAGCTTAATTAATGGAGTTTTGTTTTCGGACCAGAAAAAGCTTTCGACACGATCATGATGAATCTCAAAAATTATTTTTCTATAGCTGGAATGATATGGTGTGAAAAGCGGTAGCACTCCATTAATTTTAGACCCGTCTCAGACGGCGAACCTTTCATGTGTGCAACTTTATGGACAAAATAATCACGCATGTCAGAAGGGCGGCCTATGAATTAGTTCACTAAGTACTGCAGAATATATTTGGAGTGAGTAAAGTTCGACCGAGCTTTCATATGTTAATTAACCCTAACCTAATGATAACCTAACTCTAAACTTAAACTTATCCTAACTTACCCCTAACCCTAAGTTCACCTTAATCCTAACCTAACCCTAACCTAACCTAATCTAACCCTAACCTAACCTTATCTTAATCCTAACTTAACCCCTAAGTTAACCATACTCCTAACCTAACCGTAACCCTCGCCTAACCTTGTCCTAACCCTAACCTAACCCTTACCCTAAGTTAACCTTAAACAAGTAAGTAACTCTAAGTTAACCTAACTCTAACCTAACGCTAACCTTAAGTTGATCTTAACTCTAACTTAACCTCTAACCTAACCTAACATAACTTAACCTAACTCCAACCTAACTTCACCTTACCTTAACCTAACCCTAACCCTAAGTTAAACATAACCCTAACCTAACCTAACCTACAGTAAACGTAACTTAAGGCTAACCCTAACTTAAACCTAACCTAACCCTAGCCTTAGCCTAACCTAGTCCCAACCCCAAATTAACCCTAACCTAGCCCGAATCTAACTCTAAACTTAACCTAATCCTAACCTAACACTAACTCTAACCAACCCTATCGTAACCCTAACCTAACCCTAAGCCTAACCTATCCTAAGTTAATTCTAACCCTAGCCTCCTTCGCAGGGGTTCTTTGCGGGCATTCCCGCCCCATCCGCACGAACGCCTGCTCAAACGAGCGACACATTCCGTTCCCTTTGTATGACCAATCAGAGCCAAGCTCCTAAAATCCGAGATGTTGACATTCACCTTAACAAATTTACGCGCCATGAAATAAACAAGATGGCGAACTTCGAGGAAGCGTTCAAGAAAGTGTGTGAATTGTTTAAATTAAACGATCTCAATTCGTATAAAAAAAGAAGCTTTAGTTGAATTTGTAAAAAATGGAAAGGATGCTGGAATGGAAATAAAAAAATACTGATCAGATGCACTTACTGACACTTATCCCTCATGAATTTTTGTTTCGCATATGCTGATAATTATTCAGTTTGCAGGGGATACAGGGTTCAGAATTTCTAAACCCTCTATATGAATGTTTAATTATTCTAATAATCTTATTCTAAATATCTTAAATTTCTAGTTTTCAAATGATCCAGGGTTCAGAATTTCGGAATCTTCTATATGAATTTTTCTTTGGCATGTAATTGAGCTGCCAACTCCCATATCCACAAGGGTCTGCAGGTTACCCCATTCACCCTCACTATCACAATCGGAAGTGTTCCTTCGCCATTATTTGCAGTCATGAGGCGATTCCCTTCTTTCGGTTGGTTGCACCCAGCTTTGTATCGAATACCTTGTTGTCACGGTTTCGTGGACGAG